GCAAGAATTTGTTTAGCCAAATCGTTGGTATTGATAAAATCGTCAATAGTGTTATAAATTGCCTTGTTACATGTAGTGCAGATGGCTGTTGGATCAGCAACTATGATAGAATCAAAAAAGTCACCACCACCAAGATTGAACGGAGATTTAGGTAAGTTGATTGAAGTGTTGATGTCATCTTCAACTAAGCAAAAGTGGTTGGATTTCCAGTGTCTTTAAAACACATTGTATCCCTCACAGGAAAGTAGAAAACGGCAGCAGGAAATATGAGTTTCATTGCTGGGGTTTCATATCATCTGGATTACATCCGGTTTGAATTATCTTAATAGCACCTGATCAGAACATTTTGGTTCTGCACAGAATAAATTAGATAACTATATCAAGTCAGGTTGAAGGTTTTGAAGTCCAGTCTTTGGATCGGAAATAAGTAATGCAATTTTCCCAGGATCGGTTAAAATTGGTAAAATTGCAGAAACTGGTACACATTGTAGAAATTCTGGAGAGGCAGCAATACTAATTAATGCTTGCTTGACATGATGGTGATAAATCTCCCAGTGAACCTATTGGGTCCTGACCCTGAGAAAATTTAGCAACCCTAGCGATTTCATCTGGAGTGATATCAGATATTGTTTTTTTTGTGGCGCTGAAAATCCTAACCCGTTATATATAGCAAGAAAGAGTAAAATGACGATAACAAAATTATTTTTCATTATTATTATTATTATTATTATTATTATTATTTTGTATACAGACTTGAGAAAGAGAATAAGCTGCTTCCTTTAAATACTTTATTATTGATAACCAAATTCATTAATAATTAAAAATTGCATTCGAACTTGTTTACATTTTAGATCAAGATCAAATTTTTTTCATTCCATTAATACTAACAATGATTCGGTCAATTCAATTAATTTATTTCCGAGAGATTGATCTCTCATTTAAATAATGACGTAAAAAGAAAAGCTTGTCAAATTAACACGAGAGAGTTCCTTGAATTCGGGGGTTAATTAATATTAATGATGAGAGGGCTTTGTTTTGAACAAAATAATCAACAATCTGAGGCTCGTTTTTCATTATACCAACTAGATGAATGCTTTATGACAGTGACTTCGTCACTGGTATTACTTGTTATTTACTGTTTTAAAGTCTCTATTCAAATAAAAGTTACTATTTGAAGAAAAATTTCTGGCCTTTGGCAAAGTTGAATGATTTTAATATTGTTATTTAATCACCAATAAAATAATTGAATCACGGAAAATATCTCAGACAACGGAGAAACAAATATTCTGATGTAACAGACCTTTAATTCTCAGATTAAATTCAAACAAAAGAATTTAAATTATTGGATCACTTTAGAAATAACTTGAAAATAGTTCTACATAGAAAGTTCAAGTAATACATTTAATTAGGATAAATTAGGAATAATAAATAATATAGTCCTTATCTTTGTCCTTGTTGTTGACTTGAATATTGTATTTTCGTAGTGATAATAAATCTATCCTTAACAATGAATCTATACTAAAATCCCATGCATAATCATTTTTTCCCTTATTTTATATTTGTCCATTTTTTTTATTTCTTTTCTTTTCTTTTAGTGTGGTGATATTTAATGAATTTTATTTAGTAGTTTTGAGAACGCACCTGACTTGAGTATGGAATAACGGCTAAGGAGGGCACCCACTAAGAAACGTGATCAATAGTGTAAAATCTAAAAAAGATATTGTTTAGTACAAGAAATTGTTTAATGATGGTGAAAATTAGTTTTGAGAGTGAAATCATGCCAGAAATTGTTGTTACGATTCAGTATAAATAAATGATACTAATAAAGAATTATCCCACTTGCGTAACAATAAATTTTTTAAAACGAACGAAGAAAACAATTTTTTGCTCACAGTGAAAAAATGGAAATGATTGAACTAAAAAAATTTTTCTCAAATAATAATAAAATAATTTTTTAAACGAAGAAATCAATTTTTTTGCTTCCAGTGAAAGTGATTGATTTTTGAAATCCATATGCAATAATTAATAATTAATAAATTTTCCTCAAATAATAATGTATAATTAAAAAAAAGTAGTTAATTTTTAATTTTTTGAAATTAAAAAAATCCCACTTGCGTAACAATTTTTTGCTTCCAGTGAAAGTAAAAAAAATGATTGGTTTTTGTGATCTGTACGCAATAATTAAATTTCTTCTCGAATAAATAATGTATAGTTAAAAAAAAAAGTGTATAGTTTATTAAAAAAAAGTATTTTTGATTAAAAATCCCACTTGCGTAACAACAATTTTTTTAAACGAACAAATTTTTGCCTCCAGCGAAGGCGAAAAAATGAAAATAATTGGTTTTGCAATCTGTATGCAATAATTAAAATTTTCTCAAATAAATAATGTATAATAAAAAAAATAATTAAAAGTAGCAACAAGAAAATTTTATAGAGGCATATTTATAAAAAGCAAAAAAAAAGTTGAATCTCCGAGCTTCTTTACATATTCGATCATGAATTTCTTTACATTTTCGATCTGTATACAAATGCATTTTCTACAACAAAACAGTTATTATTGTTCTCAATTCAACACCCAAATTTTACAAAAAATTCCTTCCCAAAAAATTATTTTAGCTTTAGAAGGTGAATTCATTAATTCATTAATCCATTAATTTTAAAATTGAGCCGTGTTTTTTACTTAAAGATCTACTTTGTTGATACTTTATTAATATAAAAAATTACACGAATTTTTGATATTAAAAAAAATCGATAAATATGGAAGGTTACATTACATGCATCAAAAAACTATCATATGGGCCAATTTGTTCGATCGGCAAAGAAAAAAGTATTAATGACACGTGGGCGTTACATTTTGATGATCATTATTTATTTTTAGATATATATAAATAATTAACTGTATAAACGTAATTTTTGAAACGGGATTCTTTTTTATTGGTTTCTTTTTAAGTGGGATTCTTATTACTACTATATTTAAAGGTCGTAGGAGAATATCTTTACTTAGGAACACAAGAGTGATTATTATGTGCGTTATAGATTCGTGTATGATGACTTGTGATTTTAATATATAAAAATAATCAATTTTTAAATGTCACAGGATGTCGATCAAAAAAATTGGCCCGTATGAATATATAAAAGTATTGGTTTTGTTTTTTGAATGAAGGAAAAAAATTTTTTTCGGATCCTTGACCCTAACCAACCTTTTTGATTTATATAATAATTTGACCCACAGATTGACCCTAACACTAAATTAATTTGACCCTATTATAATTACTGACAAGAAATTATATTAATTAATATACAGTCGACCCCCTTATAGTCACACCCCTCGGGAATGACTAATGCTGTGACTATAAATGAATGTGCTTATAGAGGGTATAAATACCATCACAGTGTGCTTATATACTATTTTTCAAATAATTTATTTAATAAAAATTTTTAACAATATATAGACAAGTATTCAAATTTTTATATTATTAGCATTCTTTCTTTTCAAAATATGCATAAATGCTTTTTTGGATCTTTGGTTCCATAAGTTTGACAATACCTATTTTCTAAAAATGTGCAAATCATCAATTTTAAATTTTTTGTTGTTTTTCTGTTGCTCAAAAAAATTAATAAATGTTTCTAAACCATTAATTGCATTTTTTTACTAGTATCAAAGGTATTTCTTCATCTAATGATGAATCATTACCATTTTCACCCATTTCTTCAAATTGGACAAGACTTATAATTTCTTCATCATTAAGATATTCTTCAGTTGGTATATTTTAATTGAAACTATCAATATTCATTTACATCATCAGCATCTGGTAATATAATAAGTCATTCTCATTATCATCAAGCTCTGAATCTTGAATATTCACATCGACCATAATGATATCATTACTGTTTGGGAAAATTCCTGTTTTAATCCAACAATTTTGAATGGTTGTTTCAGTGACATTATTCCAAGCCTCAGCAATAAAATAAATAGCTTCTTTTACATTCAGTTTATCTCTAAATATAAGTAATTAGTATAGTTGATTTACATGATTTAAAAAAAATCTGATAATTGATTATTAATTATATCATTACATACCTTTGGTTATATGTTCCATTATCAAAATGGCGAATTAAATATTTACAATATTCATGTTTGTATTTAGCTTTAAAACTATGAATGATACCAGCATCCATTGGCTGTAAGTGTGCAGTGGTGTTAGAAGGAATATAAATAAGTCTAATATTCGTAAGATTAATATTTGGTGTTTTTCTTCCCTTTTTTTTTTTGTGTTTGACCAATGTTGGTTTTTCTTCTTTGAGACAACTGAGATGATTCTGCAATTGGTTCTTCATTGATAATTATAATTTCTTCATTTGTGATCATTGACAATGGTAGAGTTTTCATTAGATTGTTCAAATTGCTTTGGATTAAAATGTGGCCCAGCATTATCAATTAGAAGAACAACCTTTCTGTCCATTGTATGAAAAAATCTATAATGATAATTGAGCCACTCAATGAAATGTCAGATCTCATCAAGCTTTTGAATTTGCATGGTAAGTAACAGGTAGTGTAGATTTATTAATATTTGTAAAGCGACATGGGTTTTGAGATTTTCCAATCACTAAAGGAACAAATTTGTGACTACTTGCATTAGCACAAAGTAAAACTGAAAGACAACTTTTATCCTTAATTTTTAAAAAAATTTGCAAACCAAATTTTAGAACTAATGAATCAATAAATTTACTTTTTTATATCCTGAAATTGGGCCAGTACTTAATGTTTGGTTGGGTAGCATCCTAAAGAAAATTCCCATCTCATCAGCATTATAGATATCTTCATTATATTGACTTAAAATAAATCGCAATTTTGAACGTTCTTCAGGAAGAATTTGGAGTGGAGCACTATTAGCCTCACCAGAATATTTAATTTTATGTAAACCATTTCTTTTTTTGAATTTATATATCCAACCATTTGCACATTTTATTTGGTTTTCAATATTTAATCCTCTTGCAAATCCCCCCTTTCTTTGTAAAATTAAATCACTTAAAGGCATTCTGGCAGAAACCATTTGTGCAGTCCATATTTGCATTGCTTTATCAAATTCAGGAAATCTTGTTGAACACTGACAAAATTTGTCTAATCCAATTGTATCAGAAACTAAATTCAGCCATTTATCTTTATCTTTAAATATTTTGGAAATACTTGTTCTATCAATATCAATATTTAGTTATTTGTATTTATTATTAAAGAAAGAGGCAACATCAGCATGTTTAACACTTTGATGAACCATCATATATTCACAAATTTCTTTCTTTAATTTAACACTGATAGCATTGCAAGTTCTTTTAGCAGTTATTTTTGACTTCAGCATTTTTATTTAGCTATTGAATTATTATCAATTCTTTTTATAAGTATTAAATTAAATTATAACATGAAATCACTAAACTGAATTCATAAAATAAGTGTTAAATATTTAATTGTAAACACCAATAAGAATTAAGGATACCGGCTGCAACTTTTGATGATGGTTGCTACCACCTTTGCGTCATATAAAAATGATTGCAACCACTGGTTGCAACCACCTTTACAACCATTTTGTTTCCTTTTTTGGATTGCGACATGGAACACTAATAAGAATAACTTGGAACCAATTCAGTTTACAATAATTAATAGATTTTTTTAATTCAATTGTTCATCACTAAATTAACTAAAAATTAACAGTAAAGAATAAAGATTACGAATAAAACAAATTATTTAAATAAAAATGAAAAAGACAAAACAAATAGAGTGAATAGGATGAATAAAACAAATAAAACAAATTTGTAGATTTGCAGTAACTAAATTTTTTGAATTGTAATTTATTTAATTGGTCAGTCATTCATGAAAAATAAAATTTGCAATTAATTATTTGTGGCAGCCATAATTATTTTATTATGTTAACTACCATTGCTGCAAATAACCAATTATGGCAGGTGTCTTTAGAATGATAGTTTCGGTTATATGAAATACAATGATATAAAATAACATATGATCATTATTATTTTTTTGCAAATTTTAAATCTTACAAAATTTAGTGATTGACAAGTGATTATATGGAGGGATTTTTTCTTATCTTTACTAATTTTGTGTTATATGACTAGGTGTGATAGTGATTATATGGGAGGTGTGACTATACAAGAGGTGACTATATGGGGGGCAACTCTATCAATATGAATTTGACCTAACTGTGGCAGTAACCTATCTATGAAGTTTTCAAGGTCCTGTAGACATGCATTATTAAAAGTTTCATTTATGCATGGCTTGGTATTATTACTACTTGGATGATGCAATTGATTGTTATGTCAATGATGATATCAAATGTATTGAATAATAATCATGACCATCATGGATATTTGATGGATGGAGGCATTCACATGATTAAATGGCTAAGTCATGTTTGTTTTATTACATAGATTTGCATATTCTTTTAAAATTCTTTGTTATTAAAGATATATAATTTAAAATTTGCAATAAAAAAATTGCAAGTCTGCACCACTATGTCAATCAAGCTATCAAGCTATTATGTTTATGCATGATTTAAAATCCTTTTGTGCTGATTTAGGGTCCTATCTTTCTTTGCTTATATATAGTATATTGGTTCTCTTTTTACTGGTTGAATGATGCCAAATTGGGTAATGGGGCATCAGTAAATATCAGAGTCTGATATTGTATTGGCATTACTGATAAGTTAATAATATTCTTTGTACTTTTATAATATAGTCTAGTGAATATTGAAAATACCAATCTTTATCAGATATTTTTCTAAAATTAATCCTTGATTGAATAAACCACTAACTCTTTTATATTGTAATTAAGTTATTTGTTAAATATTTCTAAAGCTCTTGTGAGGAGCTTTCTTAATTGTAATACTAAAATAATATCATAATCTTGAGTAGTGGTTAGGGTATCTATTTGAATAAGGTTTATTTGAATAACACAAATAATTTGAATAAACAAATAAAGTATGAATAAAATGAATAAAGCAAATGATTTGAATAATTCAAATAAAACAAATAAAATAAATAAGGGTGCAACATACGAACACCTGAGGGTTACAACACTAATATGACATATGGCAGATGCCGTATGCCATATTATCACCAAGTAAGGTTACAGCCAAACCTTGTCACAGTGGATAAATGGGATACATAAGAAAATTTTATTTAAAATCCATTGTGGCAAGATTACTATTACTATTATAATTACTAATCTTTCCACAACAGATTTATACAAAAATTTAATTACCATAAAGTCTGGAAAGATAGCACCCCATAACATTGCTTTTTTATGGTTTGTCACACACAATTTATTGTATTAATTGTCACAATTTCATAGAAAATTGTTATTTGTCACAGGAGCTATCTTTCCAGACTTTACAGTATAGTGTTTGACTATACCTAGATTATTTTTTGATTACCTAATTCAGGTTGGAATCACTTAAAAGATAAGATAAACAGGTACAGCATACTGAAAATCTTTCCAAGGGTTATGACATAGTTATGACATAGCTAAGGTTGCGGGAGAAACTCCTCCAGAAATCAATTGACAGAGTTTCGACAGGTTACACATTAATTGTTTATTAGAGTTTTGGCAGAGTTTCGCATTTGGGGTTTTCGCCAATCATCAGAGTTTTGACAGGTTACACATTAATTGTTCATTAGAGTTTTGACAGAGTTTTGACAGTCATTAAGAGGTTTCGCCCACAACCTTAGACATAGCCATATCATAACTATGAGTTATATAGTTCAAAACAAATAAAGTGAATAATTCAAATAAAGCAAATAAAATGAATAAAATAAATACAAGTGAATAATTCGAATGATTCAAATAAAGCAAATAAAGTGAATAATTTGAAAATGAATAATTTGAATAAAGAAAATAAAAACAAATAGCAGCAGCAGCAGCAGCAGCAGCAACAACAGCAGCAGCAACAACAGCAACAACAACAACAACAACTTGAATAATTCAAATTTGTATTACAAATAGAAACATGCATTAATATTAAAAACAAAAAAAAACAACAAATAAACAAACAAATAGCTTTTATTGTGAGTTAATTAATTTTGTTCCTTTAGTGTTAATGATTGAATCGATCATACTAGTAGTAGTCAATTTAAACAGCATTGTTTTTAAAAAATTCATTCAAAATATTATTTAAAATGTATAAAACTTAATTAATGATTTTTAATGTTGCAAATTTTTTTTTGATACAATCATATTTGTATACTTTGAAGCATACAAACAGCCCAAACTATTATGAATTTTGACATGCTGTAATGTCATAATATCATAAATATATTTAGACATCCATTTTCAAATTGTCATATATCATAATTAGGTTGTATTGGGTCACATGTCCGCAATATGATTGGCCACACTTTGATTTTTTTAATTATAGTTGGCTCAGTCTAAAGATCTCCTAAATTTTTAAAAGTATAGAAATCATTTTTCTGTCTCATCTTTTAAAAAAATAGCTTGATTAGTTCATAGAACAGTTCTTTAGTTTTAATGTAATAGAGACTTTCTCAAAAAAATTATTTGTTATAGAGTTTTATTTTTTAAAAAACATGTACTTTACCTCATAGGCAGAAGTTTGTATGATTGGCTAATTTTCTGTAGATCATTTCTTATTCTGTAATTTCATTGGTTCAATTTTATTAGATAATATTGAAATAAATTCACTTAATTACAAAGCTACTACTGCCATTATCATAATTCTTATTAGTCAAGCAACAATTATCTTATGCAATAGCAAAATAATTAAAAATAATTTGAGTTCCTTTATTTATTAGATTGTTTTTACATGTAAAATAAAATACAATAAATGTTATATCCCAATCAACAAAAAACTCTTATAATAGTAATCAAACAAAAAAAAAAACAAAAAAAAACTATAGCCAAAGAAAACACCATATTGTATCATCTCATGGGGCTAAAATGTCATCTGCAGATTCTTTAATGTCATCATTATCACCTTCAAGAATAGAATCAGGATCTTCACCTTCAGCATTACCATTCAAATTAATTTGATGTAAACTTCTAGAAATGATTAAACATGTTTATCAACACTGCCCTTAATAAAATCTAAGTCTAAGCAATGTATGCACTTGGACCCATCTTGGTTAAAACATGTGTTATGATATGCATGGCCACATGGTAATACACATCCTGTTTCTTCAGTGGTTATAGTTTTAGTAATAAAACAATTAAAAGGATCACAACCCATACAAACTAGGCTTATGCAAAAAGCTATACCCTAAAGGTAGATGACAAAGCCACGCTTCCTTCATCTTCATTGTAGAAACCTGTGGTGGAATTAAAAATTGAATTTTCCTATGTATGATCAATACAAGTATATAGATATCAGTAAAACAATCTAGATGCAGTTTTTCATGCCAAAGTTTCAATATTCCAAGAAAGCTGCCCAAGATAAAGTGTGAACAAAGTTTCCCCTAAAGTAATCATCATTAAATTGAGAATATCCCTACTACTTGTGAAAAAGTTAAATTATTATTATCTTTACTATAAGTCTCTATTAGAGGCCTGCATCGGGTTGGGTGGGTTTGATCTTGATGTCAAATAACTGCGGGTTGGGTTCAGGTTGTAACTTACAACAATTAATGACCCGAACTTGACCTGAATTTCTTGGCAAAAAAAAAAATCTTTAATATATATATATATATTAATAAATATAATTTTTTTTTTTATGATAAATTTTTTTTATGATAATAAATTTTTTTTTTTTTTATGATATAGTGCAGGACACCTAGTCCCACAACTTTTTATTGGTCTTGTATATCCTTTAGTATACCAGAAATGGAAATGTA